CCCCATCCCAAGTCTTGCGTTTAATTATGACACCCAGATACTTACAACACGATACTTGTGGAATGAATACGCCTCCCATTTGGTATTCTAAAGAAACCTTTGCTGATTTCGAAAAGCCTTAGTGATTTACTTTACAGCATTTATCTTCATTTTATTAATGGTAGCCCAGAATGAATATTATTAAGATCGGTTTGAAGTGTGAGAATATCTTCATCCGAATCTATTCGCCGATAAATTATGCAGTCGTCCGCAAATAAGCGCATTACTGACTTAATACAAGATGCAGATCGTTGATGAATGCCAGAAACAACAGCGTCTCTAAGACACTTCCCTGGACGCCGGACGTAATTAGGGTTCCTCTGAATGTCGTGTCCAACTCGAAATTGTTGACCGATTTATCAGGAATCCCGTACCATGCTATTACGCGATATCAACTCCGTAGATGCTATTTTCGTACGTAGTAATCATGTGAAAACAAGCATCGAATGCTTTTGGAAAATCTATAACAATTGGCGTCTGTTCTCTTAACCCGAAATCAAAGTTTCAGCAATATCTTGACACGTTGTAATAATTGGCTTTCACACGAGAAGGATTTTCGAAATCCATGTTGCCCTTCGTATAACCACCCTAGTTTGTCCCATTCCCGACGCAAGAATGTCGGGAATGATCTTTATGTCATATTAAATAGTGGAATTAGCAATATCCATTCAAAATGCTTGAAGAAAAAAATTGGACCCATTTTTGAGAAAATGGTGTTTGAGCGTTTCTGAAAATGCAGAATTTTGAGCTAGTTTTCACAGAAAGTAGTAGAGTTTTTGAGAAAATTTATAAGGCATTATTTACAGCACATGTACTCATAAATATAATAATGTGGACAAATTGCCTCTAATATAAATATTAACGACCTGAGAGACATGTCAAAAAAATTTCATTTTTGTAATTTTTGAAAAACAAAACTGTAGAGCACTATGGCGTGTATGTCGTCTTGTAGGATAGATTTCGCGCTATCCCTGCCAAATGCTAAAAGAAAAATTTGGAGCCGTTTTTGAGAAAATCTTGTTTTTGTAATTTTTTAAAATCGCACACAATATTGAACGAAGACTACTAAAATTTTCAAAAAAATGTACATGACTTTAATGAAAGAACACACAATGGAGAACAAATTTTATTTGAAGAAAAAATACGTATCTTTGATTTTGTAGTTGTAGAAAGACACCGAAAAAAATCATATTTATGAAATTTTCCAAAATTCAGAGTTAAACGTGAAAATCGGACGTATGCCACGTTTATAAGTGTATGTTACTCTAGTCTTACACGAAATTTAAGGAAAAAATGTTGAGCAGTTTTTAAGAAAATTTTCAAAATATCCGGAGGGCTTCGTGTAAAGTACGTCCAAATGTTGAAGAATGATTTTCAAAATCTCAAAGATTCGATTCGAACCAGATGGACAGGGATTTCTTCAATTTTGGAAAAGTCGTACGCATGGTTTAGGCGCTAGTAGTGTTAACAGACACCAGACGGGCGGACGGAGGGACGGACGGACCGACCTTCAGACAGACAGACACGGACAAAGACAAGACAGACAAAGACAGACACAGACGCAGCCAGACAGACGCAGACAGACAGACGGACTTTTGAAAAAAACTACTTTTTCGGCATTGGGGGACCCCAAAACGTGTATTTCCGTCGAAATCTCGAAATCGAATTATATAACTTTCCCTATACTCCGTATATATTGTACATATGCGGGAAATTAAAAAGAAGTTCTGATGAACAGAGGAAGATCATGACAGATGGTTGCGACGAGGGATGGAGAAGGAGGAGGGGGAGTAGGAGGAGGGGGGAATAAGGGGTATATAAAATTACTTTCATTTAACTCTGGATAAAATTCATCTCTTTTCTCGTTTAACAGAAGAATAAATGCCCATGAAACGTCCAGATATTTCTCCTGGAACTGGGGAAAAGGGAACGAATTCCACACGATTATTTGAGCAGTAAGGCAATTACAGGGTTTTGCTTTCAGAAGCTTTAACACTTTGAAGTCCAAGCCCGACCTACACTCGGGCTATATTTAATGCTCGAGAGTCCCACGTTTCCTCGTCTTTCCGCGCACGTGCCCGAGTATAAGGGCGTGTGAGGAATGCCCGAGTATAAGAGGAGATTGATGTGGCTGTGTTAGGTTGATGTGGCTGGGTTGGCCAATTTAAGAACTATTTTGCGAAATGCGAGCCGGTAATGTCACTTGCTTTTTGTAGTAGTTTGCAGTGGTAAACATAGTTCTGTACTGTTTGCTCGTGTGTTATTTTGAGTAAAGAACATTGACCACGTCACAAAATTATGACTTTTTGAAAAAAAACATTCAGAAATTAGCTTTGAAAATTTTTGTAAAAATGCAAAAGAAACTTAGGACGAAATAAGTGAAAATTCGGATTCTGAAAAATGTATATTATTCTTGCGCAGATTTTTTTAATGTTTTATTTTTGTAATATATTCAAGTATGTTAATAAAATATAAAAATTGGCACTTCTACTTATTTTTTATCTGTTTTCAATTATAAAAACACTTCATAAAAATAGTATAAAGTTTTGTGCATTTGTTTCACCAAAAGAATTACATTTCACTTAAAATACCTCTAACTACCCTAGGTTGTGAGACCCTTCTGGTCCCCGAGCGTCTGGGACTCAAAGTGTTAACGCTTTCCCATCCCGAAAGTTTTCGTTTGTGGCCCTCACCTGCAAGAGGCGCCGCAGGGCGCGGGAGGCGCGGGGGCGGGGTGGTGGGGGCGGCGCCGGCGGGGGCGGCCGCGCCGCGGGCCCGTCCATCAGCGGCAGCAGCACCACCAGCACGATCAGCACCAGGATCACCGAGATGGGCACGCACGACGGCTTGAACCACCCGCGCGGGCCCCATCTGCAAAGCCCAGCCCCGCCCCTCTCGTCTCTAGAGGCACGCTCCTCTCATCGCTCTGTTTGAAACATGATCAAACTGAGATGACGGGGAAAATATTTCCTTAGCACCAATATAGTATAGTAATATGCAATATATCACGCAAAATGTTTTTACATTAGACACCTATAGCGGACCTGGTCTCCCCATCGCCCAATCGGACATCCCTGTTCAAATACGACGTTTTCAGGCTAATTGGGAAAATGATTCGTTAGGCTGTCCACGTGAACAGTTCGTTTGGCATGCAAGATAGACTGATCATTAAATTGTATGGCAATTCAAAACAACCCGTCTCTTTGGAAACAATCAAGAAATGTTTTTAAACTGAATGTTTAATACATTTTTTGAGAACTGAAGAGAATTTCGGATAGTGGCGGTATTTTGAGAAATCCTATTTTATAGTTCGGTGTTCCTTCACATGTGTCCCACAATATTGTCACGGGAGACTCACAGTTACGCAGAGGAATAAGGTTTCATAAGTAAACGATTAATTTTTTAAACTACATGCATAGTTAGTTCTTGAAGTGAGTCAATTTTATTCAATTATTTTGCTCGTTTGTCAGCTAGGTCGAATTCAGCCGCTATCTCGAGGAGAATTCAAGCGAGCGGCTGCTCTGATAGGTAGTTTTCCGTGGTTTCTCTGATCAACAATAGGCGAATGACGGGGCAGTACCCTAACAAATGCGCCACTGACCGCGCATTATCTTTCCTACCTCTTCCTTGTCCTTTCCTCCCCTCGCTACTACACTACTACACATGTCGGGAGATTAGAGCTTGTCCCGATTGGGGCGGTAATATTACTTTGAATATTATAAAAAAGTGGCTTTGTCTTTCAACATGAAATGTAAGGCAGCACAGACCTTGGGCTCCCGACGTATGTGGAATATAGTGCATGTAAGTGTAACTATATGTGAGTAAGGGGTGAGGATAGGTCAAGGAAGAGGGAATTCTAGCGAGCGGCTCTTGTCCCGTTTCCCGGTACTGCTCCGCCTTTCGCCTGATGTTGGTCGATAAAGACAAGGAAAACTACCGATCAGAGCAGTCAGCCGCTGGAATTCTCGTCCAGACAAGGGGCTGAATTCGACCTATTTAGTTACAGTTCGCGTTATGAAAATGCAAGCCTCAAGGCTCTTTGCCCCTACGCCTAGCGTTGCGTTGCCTTACCCTGCCTTGCGGCGTTGGCGAGGATGGGGCCTTGCAAGAAAGCGATCGCTCCCAGTGGCAGATGAATGACTGTTTGTGGATTATATGATCCTCCGCTGGTGGAGTACAGAGGTGTCACACAAATGGCGCCGAAAGGTACAAGCAGATAAACAAATAAACGTTCAAGGAAGCGTTAGGACATACGCAAGTGTTGCCGGAGGAAGACTATTGGAAGTAATGTGTGCGTGACTGATGAAGCTACTATAGCCATTGTTTTATGTTTTACCGAGCACAGCTGTAATGGCAGTTCGGATTTTGACCTTGCTTACTGTGTCGAGGGAAAAGTGAATGCCTGTTACTCTTTCTTAAAATACTCGTAGTACACAATTCTGTATTTATCTCATTTATAGCTGAAGTACCCAGCGACGCACGGCAATTTATTATAGTAAATTATTCATGCCCTGCGGCGGGGCCTACTTCTATCCCATTGTATCCCTACTCCGCCCTGTCCCGTTGAGCTATCCCTGGCTTATCTTGCCTCCTATTTGTAAATTATCGGTCTATCTCGCTTACTTTCACAATAAAAAAGTTTACAAATGTGCTGGTGGACGGAGGCATGTTGGGATATGGGTGAGTTGGATAGGTTGAGGCATGGCGGGGCAAGGTGAGTTGGATGGGTTGAGGCATGGCAGGGCATCATTGGTTGGATGGTCTGAGGCGTGCGTGTGCTGCATGGTCTGAGGCATGGCGGGGCATGGCTGTGTTTAATGGGTTGAGGCATGGCGGGGAATGGCTGTGTTGGATGGGCTGAGGCATGGCGGGACATGGCAGGGTTGGATGGGCCGAGACGGGGCGCGAAGGGGAGCCGCGCACCATTACCTGGCGTTGTGCAGGGCGTCGGCGTCGTGGTCCCCGCGGAGCATAAACCGCGAGTCCCACAGGTCAGACTCGACCTCGGCGCCACCATCCAGGCGCCCGTCCGCGTCCCGCGCCGCCGCCTGCCGACAACCACACACACACACACTCAGGAAGGATTCAGGGAATGCCACAACGTCGCCTTCCGTCAAATAGCATCTGCCTTCTTTTTCTTAGATTTTAAGTTGTGTAACGAATCCTGCAGGAGGAAAGTGAATCGAAATCCCAACATGCCGCGGACATATGTAGGTGTTGTTCACGATTGTACGAAAACGCTTAGAAATGGAGATGAGGAAACTTGTCTAATTTTGATTATATAAAGTATAGTAACTGGAACTTCATTCAATAATAATAATAATAATAATAATAATAATAATAATAATAATAATAATAATTGGTGCTAAAACAGTACATACTTTCTCACTCGTATTTTCAAGCAAAATTGCGAAACGTACGCGAATTTACAACAATATTACGCCAATACCTACGATGCATGATGTGTATTTTTACCTTAAATAAAATTATTAGTTTATATTAATGCGAAAGAAAAGGCAGCAGTGATTATGGCCATTTCTTATCAGTGCAGCGTTACAATGGGTTACAAGCGAAACTGACAGCTAATTCGTATGGGATACACATTTTGCCAATTAGCATTGTTGATACCACTAGAAAGAAAATGAAAATAGATAGATATAATATTTAAATATAATATTTTTAACATCAAAATTACTCGACTTTTACATGCAATACGTTTTATTCTCACAACGTATTAAGCAAAGCGAAATCATCTATTTCCTTTCACATTTAACTCAATTAAAGGATACAATGTAAAATAAGTTTTAAATAATTTCTAAAAGATTAATGTTAAAACGTTTAACAATAGCTCGAGGAAGAAGCGAACAAAAAAATGTGAAGATATACTCGTATACAAATTCAAACTTACGTAGCAGCCTTCCTATCATTTGAACTATAAATAATTGAAAGATGAGTAAAAGTTTAAAAGAAAAAAATTAAAAATAAAATTTAAAAAAGCGAGAGATTAGTAACACTTGAAAAACTAGACATTTTCGTTCTCGAGTTATAGAAAACTTCTTTGCAACGGCAAACGAACCGCAGATTTGACTTTTCTGCATTGCTAACGAAATTGACTCTTGCTCTTACCTCTATTCCTACCACTACATTAAAAGAAGAGTTCAACAAGGGGCTATCTCAGCATCTGCTCACTGAGTCAGGGAAACTGGACAAAAACCTGATCGAGAGGAGGTTCATAAACCCGGAAACTGAAGTACATTATTTTTTACAAGCATATTAAATCTTTCTTTTAAAAAATTACTATACACATGTAAACAATGCATCATAGTACTGTTTTTTAAAATAAACATTAATTTTCTTTTTGTTGACAAGTATAGTATCTAACGTATAGAAACAGTTGTGCAGCAGAAAAGATTTTACTTTTAACTTAAATTTGTGTACCACTTCAATTATTTAATGTCATCTGGCATTCTTAAGAAGTTTGTTCTAAAGCGCGAGAAAGTTATATTAATATTAATAATAATAATAATAATAATAATAATAATAATAATAATAATAATAATAATAATACCGGTCCCGTGGCGCAGACGGTTGCAGCAGCTGTCGAATGCGCCGAGGAGGCTGCAGGTTCGAGTTCCGCGTGGGTATGGTCGTATTTACCTCCCATTATCATAATTCACTAATTACCTCATTATTCGTAATTCAAGGCGGGACAACCTTGTCTTATCAAAGGATACAGCCGGAAAAAGCCGATCCCCTTTAGTCACACAAGTTAATCTCGGCCCTTGAAAGATAGCGTGTAGCGTGGTTGTAAATAGCCGATACGCTAATAATAATAATAATAATAATAATAATAATAATAATAATAATAATAATAATAATAATGTCGCGTTAAGGAGAATTTCATTCTCCTCAGTAAAATTTCCATTTGTGAACTTTGTACTTTTTAAAGAAAGGTACTACAATTCGTATGTTCGAAAATTTGTACACAGCATATTCTCGTGTATTTCTTAGTTCATTTTCTGAGTGGAATGCAAAAGCGGTGGCGCTGAGCTAGCGACGCCGTGCCAGCAACGAGACCGGAAGCAGGTGGACATTGATCCATCTTCGCAGGCTTAATTCTCCGTAAGCAAATTCTTCGCGCTGATCGCAGTGAAGCGGATGCGAATCTGAGTGACAGGCCTTCTGGGCGTTAGCTGTACGAGTATCACTGCGGCGCTGAAGAATATGTCTTTCTCTCCCTGGAACCCTTCAACACACTGTGTTTCGACACTGCGCTTAAATGGCAATCTGTTGTCTTTTTAATAATGTACATTTTGGGCTATTCAATCCATTAATTTATATAGCATTCAAGTTCCAACCATTCCGGAGGCTGGTAGGTGTTTTCCCAATTTGGATTCCTAAGTTGGGTTTCTAGTTAGAACTCTTTAAGTAGAAACTCGACACTACCCTTCTTCGCGGTTCAGGGGCTTAAGACAAACCGTCATAATTATAATACCCTCCCCCATTAGTTTAAAAATTAAGCATTTCTCTGCAATAAAAATACAAAGCTACAAAAAGTATATAGGCTTTGGCACGCAACCACGACACGCAACTAGTTTGTCGGTCAAATGTCTCGTTCACGCAACTCCTTTTACTTGTTCTTAAACACCATTCGTTGTGAAACAAGGTTCCTTTTCTACGCCATTAATAATCGAGTTTGTAAAAATATTAATAGCACAAAAGGTTAACCCAGTTCGTGCCGAAGTTCCTTGCGACGGGAACTGGTAATATTTATTTGTACAAAAGCAGTAAGAAATTAGTAGGTTACGTTTGGTGCGTCGAGGTGTACGTTAGGAAGGGAAGAAAATCTTAAACTTAACGGTAAAAAGGCTACTATAGAAGGGAGAAAATCTTGCATTAAATGCTCAGAAGCTTAAAAAATCAGAGAGAAGCTGGAAGAAAATCCCGATCGAAACGACATATATTGCTGAAAAATCTCATGAGGAAATATTATTTTATTTTTTGAATACCATTTTATTTGTATATCAGCATTATAAATGACCTATTCCATTGCAAGATATCGTTCATAAATGGATGTTTTATGGCACAACTCATCGTCCGCTCTCACTGCCGGTCTTCCCGCCCGTACTCCCTGCTTCACTTCATAACATGATAGTATCTATGTTATGTTGTCAAACGGCAATAGCAAAAATAGCGTGTGCAACTCGTCGATGAAGTTGCTTTGTTGAATTCTTAACAAATCTGAAAACTCTCTCCAACATAATGTACTGTTAATACAAGACTGACCACCAAGCAACAAATGATATCCATATTATATAATCCGTCTTTATTGTTTCTTCCAACTTTACTATTCTTTTTCTAGTTATGATTGATCATTTTTGTAATAATTAAAGCAGCTTTACGTACTTTATTATAATGAAAAATGTTTTTAAAATTGTCTAAATGCGTGCTAGTATAGAGGAGTTACTTTAACACTAGGAGTCACTTTAACAGGTTGGAAAACAAAGCAATGCCATGCAGAGCGATGATATAGCAAGAGATGAAGTGATGAAGCCATATTCAAATTAGCTAACTAAACAAACGCACTGACAAAAAGAGATCATGGATGTAACATGCAATTACGTTGCTAGCAGTGGTGAAGCAGTTGCTGTTAAGGCGGTCCCTTCTTGAAGTATTCTGTCTATATATACTACAGTATATTTTATTAATTTTGAAACCTTGTAAGGAACAAAGATCAAAATTGAAATTCGAAAATAAAATCATTAGCGATTTTTAAAAAATAAAATATCCAATATAAACTAGTGGTGCTACAAAATGGCATAGACTTTCCCGTATTAGTTTTCTATTTCTTTAGTCTCGGCTAGCTGTTCGGACTTGCCACATACTCTTACCAGCTGCCATCTATCGCCGCGCAAAATACATTTTTTTGACATTTTCTTAATTTTTCGGTTTTCTAATTGAAGAACGGAAATATCATTTTAAGAATATTAAAGAACAGTAAAACCTCGTCCTATTGGCAATTTTCTTTGAAAAATTTGGAGCCGTTTTTAAGGAAATATTTAAGCTGTACTGTAAATTCTAAATTTAAAGCTCTTTTTCACATTCAATTTTTGAGTTTCCGAAAAACTTCATTAGAAGCCATTTGAAGCTCTTTAACTCACAAATAAAATAGTGTTTACAAATTGCAGAAAATGTGCATATTAACGGCCTGAGAGATCTTAAAAAAACATTGTGTAATTTTTGAAAAAACAAAAAAATAACCCGAAATGAACATTAAGCCATGCTAAAAAGTGCAATTAACACTATCCGTACCAAAACAACCAGATAGAACGCAAAAAGTACTCGTGTTTTCAAAGAATTGTACATTATCTTTTTTAATGACCTAATTTTGTACAACGGACTATGAGGCAAACATCTCTATCTTCATTTTTGAAGTTTTGAAAACTTTTTTGCAATTTTCGAAATAAAAGAGCAATACCCGAAAATGAGACTAGAGCTACTTTTTACTGTTCCTTATATCATATGTGGAAAAAAAAATTAAATAAAAAAATTGGAGAGAATTTTGAGAAATTTTCATTTGTAAATTTCAATCACTAAATAGACAAAAACTACTGTTTTTTTGAAAACATTGTACATGATATTTTTTGAAGAGTTAATTTTGCAAAAACAGACTTTGCCTGAAACAAAAATCTCTATCTGGAATTTTGATGTTTTCATTTTTTTTTCAATTTTCGGAAACTCGGGGATGTCAACAAAATGGAGACCTGCACCATTCTCTTAAACGTCCTTTGCACAATTCAACAACAAATTTTAATCAAAACATTTGGAGCCATTTTATGAAAATGTTCCAGGGGTTTCATGGAAAGTATCCCGCTTTCACATTCCAGGGTCCGCGACATCAACTAGAACAAATGAAGAATATAAATTTTGGTGAAAATCGGCTGAACGGTTTATGCGCTAGCATTGTGCACAGACGGATGGGCATACGTTTCACCGTCTATCGATTTTTCGGTATCAAGGACGTACAAAACACTGGATTCTGGCTACCCCACGTGTTAAAGGATTTTTCTTCCTTTTTTGTGTATTGAGCAACTGGATTTATCCCCTTTTTCCTTACCATGGCACGGCAATAATTTTTGTGTGGAAAATTCGCCGTTTTCCGGCGCACTTAAGTTAGTAAGTGCGAGAAAGTAAAAATGAACAACCACTATTAAATACATTCAAATTTGTTTTACAATTTTATTCAATGAAAATTGACTCGACGTTTTGGAGTGTACTGCAGCTGTTTGCGGTGCAGACGCAGGGAGTTGTTGGTTACGCCGCTGCTCTTTTGTTGTTGATACTTCCAACAATATCGACGTGCGGGTCGACAGGCGATAGCAGTCAGTTCGCTTGCGCGTCAGTCTTCTTGTGTTGCGAGTATGGCCGAGTGCCAAGTGTCGGTGCAGGTGGCGCTGCGCGTGCGACCGCTGGTGGACGCCGAAGTGCAGAGGGGCTGCCAGATGGGCCTCGAGTGCGCGCCCGACGCGCCGCAGGTGGTGGTGCGGGGCGCCGAGAAGGCCTTCTCTTTCAACTACGTCTTCGGACCCGACGTGGACAACGAGCGCGTTTATGAAACCGCCGTCAAGGAGCTGGTGAGACACGTCTTCCACGGATACAACGTGACCGTTCTGGCGTACGGGCAAACAGGCTCGGGCAAAACCTATTCCATGGGGACCTCGTACAGCGAGGACGGCAGTCGCGGGGTCATTCCTCGCGTGGTAGACGACCTGTTCAGGAGCGTCACTGACGCGGGAGATCGCGAGTTCAACATCACGGTGTCTTTCATGGAGTTGTATCAGGAACAGGTCTTCGATTTGCTAGACCCACACAAATCCTCAGTGGACATCAGGGAACACGCTAAGGGTGTAATTGTTCCTGGTCTCACAGAAGTATCTGTTCACAACCCAGAAGAAACATTTCAGTGTTTAATTCGCGGTTCTCTGGGAAGAACTACTGGCACGACAGCAATGAATACGCTATCAAGTCGCAGTCATGCCATCTTTACAATTACTGTTCATCAGAAAAGCAAGGTCGACCAGACCGACTGCAAGACATCCAAGTTCCACTTGGTGGACCTTGCCGGATCGGAGCGATCAAAGAAAACCAAAACGTCTGGAGAAACGTTTAAAGAAGGAATTAATATTAACAGAAGTCTTTTTGCTCTCGGAAACGTCATATCTGCACTAGGGGAGGAATGTCAAAAAGGACACATTTCTTACAGGGATAGCAAACTGACAAGACTCTTGCAAGATTCCCTGGGAGGAAATTCAATGACTTTAATGATTGCTTGTGTCAGCCCTGCAGACTACAATTTGGATGAAACTCTCAGTACATTACGCTATGCTGATAGGGCCAAAAGAATAAGAAACAAACCTGTTGTTAACCAAGATCCCACAGTTGCTCATGTTACAAAGCTACGGCAACAAATCCGCGAGGTCCAGATAATAATACAGAATAGTAAAAATGCCATTCAATGCCCACACATGCAACTCCAAGCAGACAAAAATTGTTTTGCTAATAAAAATATAAAATTAGCTGAACTACTTAATGCCATATATTTTTGGAATTGTATATTAGAAGAACATATACATTATTCAAATGTTTTTAACAAATGCTTGAAAACTGAATTAAAAGAAATAAACTCTGCTTACGATTTACTTATTAAAAACGTTACCCAAATTATTGATTCAAATACAGATCAAGAAAATCTCAGAGACAAATTTAAATGTTTTCACGATATACAAGAAAAACTTAATGAGTTACAAGCAGAGGATTATTTGAACACAGAACTAATTGTCAATCAGAAATCATTTGATCAAAAAGCAGAATCACAAAGTGATATTGTGGCAAATGCATGTTCATTGCACTGTAAAAATGTACGAATTATGGATGATAATGAATTGGAAGAAACAATAAAGCAATGTATTGATATATGTAAGGAATTTGTGATGAAAAACAAAGTATTAACTTTTAAGCAGAAATTAACTGATGAATTGAAATCAAAATTAAATCAAAGGTATGATTTGAGCAAGGATCACAAATGTATCATGAAAAATTTGGTGTCCCAAGTTCAAGCACTGAAAAAACAGAAAGAGGAACTTAAATGTTCTTTACAAAAAATTAAATGCTCTGCAACATCCCCCAACAAGGAACATCAACTTGCATTTCATAAAGATAAGATAAGAGAATTGCAAGGAAGAGTTCTTTTTCTTCTGAAGAAGATATCTGAACTAAATGCTATTATTAAAAGGAAAGAAAAGGAAGAACAAAAGATAAGAGTTCTCAACAATGAATTATTTCTCATGAAAGAGAAAAATAATGTTTTAGTAAAGCAAAGGAGAAACACTAATAACCAATTTCAAAATATGAAACTTCAATCAGAAAGAGAATTGACAAAATTAGTGAAGCTAAATGACAAAGCTCAAAAAGATGTAAATGTTAAGGAAATGCAACATGAAAAAGAACAGAAGGCTTGGAAGAGAAAACTGGAAGAAGCCTTTGCTGTTAGCAAAAGACTCAAAAATGCATTGGATGTGGCAAAATCAGCTCAAGAAAAGCATAAGAATAGAGATGCTACATCAAAACTTCACATGTGGCTTCCCCAAGAGTTGGATATAATGTGTCACAAGAAGGATGCTGAGAAATCACTACATGACCTTGTTGAAGGAAACGTTGAGATTAATCAACACATCACTACATTGTCAAATTACCTGTCAAGTACAACCATTTCAGATGGTCAAAAAAATGCAGCTGAAGAGGATCTCAAACAATTAACAGACATTGTTTCAGCAAGAAATGCCCAAATTTCAGAATTACAACAAAAAATCCATGACAGTGATACAGAAAACTCGAGTCAAACAAGATGGGATAGTATTCAGTCATTGCCAGAGGCTAAACATGCTTTAAAATATTTAATGAACACAATTTTGGATGACAGAAGAGACATATTGCACACTGAGAAAAAATGCAAAAATGTATTGTCTGACATCAAATTAAAAGAAGCAATTATATGTGACAATGAAAGAAAGATAATGGAAGAGAACCGAGAACACCAACAGAGAGTAACTTGTCTTAAAAAAGAAAATGAAGGCATGATAATATTTTTGAAGCATTCTCCAGAATTAAATAATACCAAAAATTATGAAGAAACGCTCAATCAATTGTCCGAGTTGGAAAGGAGATGTGATCAATTAGAAGTAAAATTGGAACAAGAAAGTTCGGAACACCAACAGTCTTCATTTAAAAGTGAAACATTAGTTGCTCCTACTAACAACAGCGATGATGTGAATGTTGATGATGGTGATAAACCATTTTGGCAAACAACTCCTGTTTTCAAAAGAGTTCACAAATTGAAGACATGCAAATCAGATAAAGAAAAAGAAAGTTTATCAAATTACACATTAGATGGAAGTCAAAGTACAAAAAGAATGAAAAAGTATTTCAGTCAAGGCACATTTTCTTCACATGAATGTAAAAGAGGTCTATCTTGTTTAATTCACAACAAACCAGAAGTAGAAAATATTCAGAATGGAAATTCTGCCTTGGATGAAGTCAGACCTGAAAAGTTTAGGAAATCACATTGCTTTAATATTAAATGTTTAGTAGGTATTCTTTCGAAAATGAATGACTCAATTGTGGAAACTGGAAATACTTCCAAGGACTGTAAGAAAGATGCTCAAACAATTTCTCAGGATCACAAAACATTAGAAAGTCCTTAACATATCTCACAAATGTTATTATCATAAAAAATACTGAATTTTAATTTTTCTTTATTTTGAATTAACATGTTTATTTAGTGTCTAAATAATAATAAAATAGATGCTTTATATTTTACAAAATTATTTCTTTATTTTTTAAACATAAATACTCGTTTTAACTATATTTATACATACATTAATATGATAAAATAAAATTAAAAAACCGAATTACTTAACATGACATGATTCTTATTATGAAACTATTTGTACCATATCTTTCAAAAATTTAACACTTTTCAGTGTCAATTCAAATCTCAGATCAGTGTACAATGTTGTAATAAAAATATTTTGATCACTACCTTTTTGAAGAACCAACCACGAAAGCAGTATCAAAAGATAATTTCATTCATTGGATTAGATCAATGTCTGGAGCAGTCTTAGGACATCAAAGTCATAGCCCTAATGTTCTTAAATGGAGCGCAAGGAAACATATGCAAATATACCTCCCTCATATGTCATATTTAGATTTTATTGTTTTATGATGACAAATACAGATATTAGTGAGAATTCTCATCTTAAACCATTACCAACTTCTTATTGTTCTAATTAAATCATATCATTCAATTTTTCAAGCATTTTATAAACTAACTACAGTTAAAGCTTGTCTGCATTTTGCAATTTCAGTAATAACACAACAGAGGGCTCTTTTTCACAAAAGAAAATTTGATCAATATTGTACAATATTGCAAAATTAAATACATCCTTTCTATTAGATAATGTTAACTAATAGTTTTTATTAATCTAAAGAAATTATATTCATCAAAATAAGAACTTCTGATGTTACAATACAAGGAAATATAATTTCTTTACTTTGTTTCCAGAGGTCTTATGTTATTTTGATTTTGCTGTTGTTGGGGTGGGGAACTATTCATTTTTTTAAAAAAACATCTTAAGTATTTTCAAAAAATAGTTCATGCTGCAATATTGTGTACTTGGGTGATTATACACTTTTATAAACCAACCCTTATTAAAATACAAGATTACTTCAATCATTTTATAATTATTTGACGTTTGAATTAAGAACAGACACAACACTTGAAAGTTATTCATACGCCAGCACCATATTTGGAACCGTAATGTTCTTGTCACTTCTTTTATGTTCTCGCTGCGGCCCTTCATGAATGTCGCTGCCCGCCCATTCATAACATTTCAAGGATGTCAATACTGCGGGTCACGGTCACTTTCGAGACAGCTGATCCAGACAGACGCGCCGCGCTCATCGATTCGTTTTCTTAGAAAAGCAAGCGACTTCGTTTATCAGTCGAATCTTGAGTGATGTGGTCACCGTCTCCAGCGGTACATACTGAGAAGAATGTTTCCACGAGACATGTGAATATCCGCCAGGGATACATTAAGGTACAATGCAACTTCCTTACGTGTTGATAATCATACGCGCTAAATCATTGCAGATTATTCTCGGGATTTGATTTCGAGTTCGAGACGGCAATGACAGCACGTCCAAACCACTGTATTACAAATGAGAAAATGAGTCTCGTTATTTCGACTACAAAATGGATCACTGTTCCTTAAAAGAACACGTTTATTAAGAGCCTAAAAAGCAATACCGTTTTAAGGATGTTTAAATGTGATAATAAATATAGAATTCTTTTTAACCCTTGGGCTTATGATGTCAGCCCTCAAGTTGAGCTTAAGATTTCAGACAGAAAAAACAAAACAAATTGTAACATTCATTAACACCTTTAGAAGGATTACTAAAGATAAAGAAAAGCCGTCGCAGTTAATGATTCGACGTATCTAACAAACCCCAAAATTAAAAATACTGTTTTAATATGCAACTTAAATTTCGAATTAAAATGTGCAACTAAAATAGCTGTTAAAAAAACAACAATATGAAATGATTTTAAAGAACTCTTAAAATGTAAACTACAGGGTCAATTGATTCGTAAATATCTCTTTGGAGGCTGTAAAATGGGACCTTCAAAATAATGTACTACATTATATTTTCTTGTGATGGATGCACACAAGTGAGAAATACACATAAAATGTATTTCTACAAAATATCAAAAAAGTCAGACATCATAAAAAGCGCCACTTCGAACTTCTCTGTCAACCAATGTTATTGTTAAGTATGATTAGTTTTTTAGCAAAATTTAGGGCGTGTTGAAAATATAATTAAATTTTAATTTTCGAATTTATATTTTCTAGCATTAATGCACATAATTTAGTCTACTAATTTAATCGATAATGAATTTAAAACTAAGAAGGCAAGTGTGGGAATAGGCCGTTGACCTATTGCACATGCTGACTAACTTTATCAGATTTACTACTAAAATCATGTACACTTACTATTTTAAACACCTTCATCATACCTTAGTATCTGTCGGTAATCTGGTCCATGGCCAAAACATTTCCAAAAGCAAAACCATTGTCGAATACAACACACATTCACCGGTAACACTGAAACAGCTGACTGTTGACAGATGAATACGGGCTACTACTCCATCTGTTTCTCTGGCCGTTCTTAACAAGTGACGAACGACAAGCGTAGCAAATGTGGCCTTGCGTAACTGTAGGTAGCGCGGGAAGCATGATCAAAAAGGTGCGACAAAATAAAAGAACCGACAAAACAACTCATAATCCTGAGAGACAGACACCAGAATTATGTTTTACTTTTTTTTCTTTGTTCAGTTTTCAAAATTGTGATCTTGGCGAATCAAGGCAAACCTAATACAACATCCATTTTGTTTGTGAACAATGTTAACATATTTTGTTCTGTATTACATATTAGACATATTTTGCGTATATTTTTCATATTTTGCAAAAAATCTTTATTTCTGAAAAACAAAATTAAGTTCGCTGTAAAACAGCTGAGGTCAGGAACGAACACTGATATACACAATTTTACAACGGAGTGAATTGAACTACTTGTATTAGGAATTCAAATCCAGATGATTTCAACAGTTTTATAATTTTACCATATCCATCCTCCGATTTGAATAAATCAAGTAAGTTGGTGATGATTCTCAGTAACGATCTTTCCCTTGCTAAGTTCAAACACTCAAGAACAAGATGGGATATTGACGCTGGGGCTCCACACCGGGGACATGGCTGTGGGTCGATTTTTCTAATCAGGTGACCATGACTCATTTTGAAGTGGCCGATCCTCAGTCTAGTAAGGATGACTTGTTTGCTCCTACTAATTTGCAATTTAGGCAATGATGGCTCAATTACCGTTCTTCTGACAAGCTGGAGTTTTGATGGGCTTGATTTCCATAGTAAGTCCCACTAGTTCGTAATACTGGTGTTAAAGAGTTTTTTTTTTTTAATGTCTTATAGCAAACCAAATGTACTCTCTTCAACATTGGCCCACGATGTTGCATTTTTCGCTGCCACATCTGCTGGTTCATTGCCTTGAATTCCTTTGTGGGAAGGGATCCATACCATTTAATCTTTTTATTATTGTACCAATTTTCTTGAAATTCATTTTGCAGAAGAGTATACATAAATTTTCAAACAAAGTTTTTATGGCATAAAAATCGGCATGTTTTTCTTGTACATTTTCAGAATTGCATGCAGACGACGTGAGGTGCCTCAAATGAAAAAGCGGTCAGTTGCACGCGGTCAGTGGCGTATCCAGGGGGTTGCCCCGCCCCCCATAAAGGCCTAGAGTTTTCGTTTGTTAACTCCCCTTATTTGACAAAATTGGTTTAAATATTTATGTTTGAATTATGTAATTATTTTTTAGAAAGTATGGGGTAGTTAGTATATGTGGTAGTATAATGTATATATTAGTATATGTATTATATGTATATATTATATATTATATATATATATGTATATATGTATATATGTATATATGTATATATGTATATATGTATATATGTGTATATATTACACTACAAAAATAATGTACAATATAATAACTAATATGTTCACTATTTAACAAAAATCTAGGACCCCCCGCCCTAAGTGATCGACTGGATCCGCCTCTGCACGCGATCCGTTTGGGTTAACCTCCGTCAACATTGTAAGTTGCGACAAGTGCGCGTGAGCGCTGAAAATATCTTAAAGTAAGGGAAGTATCAGTGACGTTGTGTTTCTTCATTTTTAAACCCATTTACGGGATATATTGGTTGTCGCTTACGTGTGGCACTGCGAAGCTAATTCAAAGGTGATAGTCGGTCATTGAGTTCCCTCGAGCGTACGAAGGCTTGTATAAAGGCTATCATTGCTCTCCAAGGTAAAATGTACATAAAAACTTTATCCAGTAGGACAAGCAATATTTACTTTGAAAATAGCTTTAATAAATTAATGTAATTCAAAACTATGAAAAATTTGTTTTGTTTGTTTGTAAATATTCTATAAATTACAAAGAATTTTTATATTACACATTCTATCCCTCTTTACATATTTATGTACATATTTGACCATTTCATACTATATTTTTTCCGGACTCTGGTGGTTATCCAAAACAATATACTTATTGATGAACTATCTCTTAAAAAGTATTACAGTAAATGCGAGTGTGCGGATTGGTGCTCGGTTAGACCACTTCCCGTACACCAATCAAAGCACACGGGATGTTATTCAACACGTCTCGGTCTCCTGGTGGGAAACTGATAATTTGTTTTCGAATCCGGCCAGAAGAGGTGGTGATGGGTAGACGGACAATTGAACCAAAGTCTCCTAAATATATCTATTTAGGTGGCGTTGCTTAAACCCCAGTACTTAGAGGTAATTTTCGATCGACACCATAAATACTTTTCCGTATACGTACGTATATACGAAGTAATGATATGTAATGTAGGTAAAATTATGGTGTAATCGATTGTCTGTATGAAATCGATTTCGAGATTTCAACGGAAATACACGTTTGGGGGTCCATTGATACCGATTTTTCCCCCCTCCTCCAAAACGTCGGTCCGTCCGCCCGACCATCCGCTTGCCCGTCCGTCCGTCCGTCCATCTGGTGTCTGTGAACAATACTAGCGCCTAACTATGCGTAGAATTGTTTTTCCAAATTGAAGAAATCCTTGTCCATTTAGTTAGAGTCCAATCTTGGAGATTTTGAAAAAAAATCTTTAAAATTTTGGGGTACTTTACATAAAGCCCCCTGGATATTTTCAAAATTTTCTCAAAAACGGCTCCAAATTTTTTCTTTAAATTATTTTTAAGAATAATGTAACATAGACTTATAAAGGAGTCATAGGTCCGATTTTCACGGTTAACTCTTAATTTTGGAAAATTTCAAAAGTAAGAACTTTTTTCGGTGTCTTCTTACAATTACAAAATTGAAGATAGAGATTATTCCTTCAAATAAAATTTGTTCTCCATAGTGTGTTCTTTCATAGTCATGCACATTTTTTGAAAATTTTAGTAGTCTTCGTACAATATTGTGTGCAATATGTGCAATTTAAAAAAAATACAAACACAAGTTTTCTCAAACGGCTCTAAATTTTTCTGTAAACTTTTGGCAGGGATAGTGCTAAATCTACTCTATAAGATGAAATAAAGCCATTTTGCTCTATTCTTTTGTTTTTCTCTATTTATACAAGCGGTAGTGTGTTCACATAATTCTATTTAAAAGTACATAATAATATAATATAAATAATACAATTTTCTATTTATAGGTACATAATAAATAAAGTATAAATTTTGGAAAATTTCAAAAGTATGAATTTTTTTCGGTGTCTTCCTACAACTACAAAATCAAAGATACAGATTTTTCCTTCAAATAATTTTTAAATTATTTTTTAAGAATATATGTACAATAGACTTATAAAGGAGTCATAGGTCCGATTTTCCACGGTTAACTGTTAATTTTTGGAAATTTCAAAAGTAAGAAATTTTTTCGGTGTCTTCTTACAATTAAAAATTGAAGATGAGATTATTCTTAAATAAAATTTGTTTCTATAGTGGTGTTTCTTTCATTAAAGTCATGTCTTTTTTTTTTTTTGAAACTTTTAGTGGTCTTTGCGCAATTTCGTGCAATATGTTTCAATTTTTAAAATATTACAAAAACAAGATTTTCTAAAAAACGGCTCCAAATTTTTATTTTAACTTTTAGCAGGGATAGTGCGAAATCTACTCTACAAGACGACATACACGCCATAGTGCTCTATTGTTTTGTTTTTCAAAAATTACAAAAACGAAATTTTTTGACATCTCTCATGTCGTTAACATTTATATTATCGGCAATTTGTTCACATTATTGTATTTATGAGTACGTGTGCTGTAAATAATGCCGTATAAAGTTTCTCTAAATCTCTACCTTTTTCTGTCAAAACTAGCACAAAATTCCGCATTTTGAGAAACGCTCAAACCCCATTTTATCAAAAATGACACCAAATTTTTTTCTTCAAACATTTCAAACAGAGTGGTAATTGCTCTCTTTAACATGACGTTAAGTTAATTGCTGTGTACTTTTGTTTTCTTTTTCAAAAATTACACATTTGTAAATTTTTTGAAAGATTTCTCACGCCGTTGATATGCATATTTCCAGCAATTTCTAAACACTATTGTATTTGTGAGTTAAAGTACTTAAAATGCTTCAAATGAGTGTTTATCGAAAACTCAAATATTTTCTGTGAAAAAGAGCTTCAAATTTCGAATTTACGTACTGGCGCTTAAACGCCAGTTTTTTAAAAACGGCTCCTAATTTATCAGAGAAAATTGCCATTTAGTACGAGGTTTTATTGTTCTTTAATAATCTTAAAATAATACTTCCGTTCTACAATTAGGAAACCGAAAAATTAAGAAAATGTCAAAAAAATGTGCTTTGGGTGGCGATAGCTGGCAGCAGGCAACAATACGTGGCAAGTTCGAATAGCTAACCGAGTCGAGTAGTTACGTCGTAAGTCAGTAGTTACGTAGCGAACTCAGACCGAAGGATCGCAGGTTCTAGTCTCGCCTCGGGCATGGTTGTATTGTGTTCATCCTTTCACCCCCTATCATCATATCGTGTCATCCTCATAGTTACCATACCATTACACGCAATATTGGTCGCTAATGACCTAGAAGTTGATGCGACATTAAATAACAAACAAAAAATCGTTAAAAAATTGTTTTCTTCTACGAGGATGGCAACACACATGTCTTGAAATATGTGAAACTCGCTGCAGAAATCGTGATGCAGCATTGAAGAAAAGAAGTGAAGTACTTTTAATAATTAAATTACAAACAACTACACAGTTTCACACACACTTTCACAATATTGCCTTGAAACTTATTAAATTTGAAAAACGCCGTAAATGTGAATACGGAGAAAACCATAACTGTGTGTAATGTTAGAGAACGGAAGTACATACGTATTCTACTTTGCACATTTACATTCTTAAGTATGCAAATGCGGGGAATTTTTTTTATTTATTTAGACAAAAACGTAAAAACTGTATGTGACGTATGGGGGAGAAAATCATCTGCGGACGGGAAGAATCAATGATAATTACAGAAGGTTTTGTGACAGAATTTTCGGAACTAATTGAAAACGATCGTATATTAGTATTTGAGAATAACGCTGAAGAGCAGCTTACCGGAGATCTTTTCTGAGCTTATTAGCAAAACAAAA